CCTGCTGCTCTAGCTACTGGTGAGGCTGCTGCTCTGGGTGCTAGTGGAGTCTCCGGCTCCAGGTACAGGTGCGGCTGCTGCTCTAGGTGCTAGTGAGTCTGCTTCCTCAGGTGCGGGTGAGGCTGCGCTCTCAGGTACCGCGTTGGCTTCGGCCTCCCTCACCTTACACTTGACTCTGGGCTTCTCGCTCCTTCTTTCGGGACCGCACCACACTCACCGCCGCTTGATCGGCCGGTTGCAGTCTCCCTGGCTGACCCCTCTGGGGGTCCTGTCCTCGCTCACTTCTCCACTGTCCTCCCGTGTCCGGCTGCCCCCTCGGGCACCCTGTCTGGCCTGTACCTCCCCTCGTTCGTCGACGAACTTGGTGAGTGGTGCAGGACCTACAGGATGCGGGGGTTCACCAGTTCACTCCTGCGAGTCAGCGGGTGACCCACTGCAACGGACGCAACGCACAGGCCGGCACCTGGCCACGTTCTCCGCGTCGGCCGGGGTCGAGCCTCTACAACCACTGACCACTGAGTCTCCTCCTGTCCCCGCGTCCGGTCAGGTAGCAGCGTCGGTTCAGGTGTTTGCTGCTGCGTCCAGGTCTGGTCCTGAGTCTGCCCCTGTTTGTGTCGCCTCCTGTCTCACGAGACTCATTCTGTGGCACCACCGTCTAGGCCACCCCTCCTTGCCCCGTCTTCGGGGCATGGCTTCCCGTGTCCTTGTCTCTGGTCTTCCACAGTCTCTCCCTCCCCTTCCTTCGGGACCAGGACCTTCCTGTGTCCCCTGTGTCGAGGGGCGCCTCAGGGCTGCTCTCACTCCTCCCAGTTTCCCCCGACAGAGGCTCCTCTGCAGACGCTTCACATGACGTGTGGGGGCCCGGCCCCCTTCCGTGGGCAGGGTCACGAGCGCTACTTCCTGTTGGTGGTTGACGACTACTCGCGTTACACCTCAGTCTTCCCCTTGCGCAGCAAGGGTGCTGTCACTGAGGTGCTGATCGACTGGATCCGCGAGGCTCGTCTCCAGCTCAAGAGGAGCTTTGGCTCGGACTTTCCTGTTCTGCGTCTGCACTCTGACCGAGGTGGGGAGTTCTCCTCTCGCCTTCTGCGAGACTACTGTCGTGCACAGGGGATCCGCCAGACCTTTACGCTTCCGGACTCTCCACAGCAAAATGGGATTGCTGAGCGCCGCATTGGCATGGTCATGGATGTCGCTCGTACGTCCATGATGCATGCGGCTACCCCCCATTTTCTGTGGCCGTTTGCGGTTCGGTACGCGGCGCATCAGCTCAACCTTCACCCCAGGGTCTCTCGGCCCCGCGATGTCCCCAGTGTTACTGTGGACGGGGAAGGTCGGCAATGCGTCTGCGTTCTGTGTCTGGGGATCTCGGGCTTTTGTCCGCGACTTGTCTGCGGACAAGCTGTCCCCCCGTGCTGCTCCCTGTGTCTTCCTTGGCTTCCCCCCTGACGCTCCAGGGAGCCTGCGCCTGCTGGACCTGGGGGCTCTCCGGTTCTTCCGTCTCAACGGGAGCCGCTCTCTCCACAGGATCTGCGCAAGTGGTTTGCTCGCCGCTGGAGGCGTGCTGCTGGAGCTGGAGCTTCTTTGCCTGCTGGAGGGTGTTGCCGCTCCCGGAGCTGCTGGGCCTGCGGGTCCTACTGGAGCTGGAGCTACTGAGTCTGGGGGTGCTGAGTCTGGAGCTGCTGAGCCTGGAGGTGCTGAGTCTGGAGCTGCTGAGCCTGGGGGGGCTACGTCTGGAGCTGCTGTGCCTGGGGGGTGCTGAGTCTGGAGCTGCTGAGGCCTGGGGTTTCTCCTGCTGTTGCGTCTCGCCGGGAGCCCCTCTCTCACACAGGAGCTTGCGCGAGTGGTTTGCTCGCCGCTGGAGGAGTGCTGCTGGAGCTGGAGCTTCGTCGACCGTCGAGGGTGCTGGTGCTGCCGGTCCCGGAGCTACTGGGCCTGCGGGTCCTACTGGAGCTGGAGCTGCTGAGGGTGTTGGTGCTGAGACTACTACTGTCTGTCCTGGCGGTGGTTCTGCTGCTGGTGCTGCTGGAGGTCGTGCCGCTGGAGGTGTTGGTGGCGCTGGTGCTTTCGGTGAGGGTGCTGTGCTGTCCCTGCTGAGTCTAGAGCTGCCGCGCGGCCTCGACCGTAACTTCGTTCCGCTCCTACAGCAGGTTCTTGGTCTTTCTCCTTCGGTAGAGTGTCCACAGCCTGTCCAGTCGCAGTCACTGTTGGAGCCTTCCTCTCCTCTGCCTGCTCCCTCTCCTTACACTGGTCCTACTGGAGGTCTTGCTGAGCGTCGTGAGCCTGCGTCTCGTTCCCGCGTCGCCTGTTCGTGCTGCTCGCGCTAGTGGTCGCAGTTCGCGTCAGCGTCCTCCTCCTGTCCCTGGCACGCACCAGATGTCTCTGCTCGTCCGTCCACTGCTCCTACTGCGTGCCCCTTTGCCTTCTCCTCCTGAGTCCTCTCTTCCTGCGCTTGCCGACCTTGAGTCGGACTCTCTTCGCGCTGCCAGTCCTACTGTCACGCGTCCTGCTTGCTACTGTCGTCACTGACCCCTTCTTTTGAGTCCACTGCTGCGTCTGCTCTAGTCGCTGAGCTCGTTGACTTTGCTGCTCGCTGTCGTCTCGACTACGTTGCTAGTCTTGTTGCTGAGTCAGCGTCTGTCTGTCCCCCGTCCGTCGGGGTGAGTGTGCTCTTGGCACGGACGTCCTAGAGGACAGGCAGGAGGAGTTACAGTGTCTAGCGGCTGCTTCAACCTCATCTCGCGTCCGTACTGCTTGCCCCTGAGGGAGACCCGGATGCACTAGACATCCCGACTACCGCGTTCTTACGCGGAGGCCGTAGAGGGTCCCTACTCCTCTCAGTGGCAGGCAGCTATGGATGCAGAGATGGCTTCCTGGAAGTCCACAGGCACCTACGTTGATGCGGTTCCCCCTCCTGGGGCGAACATCGTCAGTGGCATGTGGATCTTCAGGGTGAAGCGGCCGCCGGGCTCTCCACCTGTCTTCAAGGCGCGGTACGTTGCTCGTGGCTTCAGTCAGCGGCAGGGAGTGACTACTTTCAGACCTTCTCTCCCACCCCGAAGATGACCACATCTTTGGGTGCTGCTGCACATAGCCGCTCAGCGCGACTACGAGCTTCACTCTCTCGACTTCAGCACTGCGTTCCGCAGGGTAGCCTGCACGAGGAGATCTGGCTGCGCCGTCCACACTGGCTTCACTGGGACTTTCCCTCCTGGCACCCAGTGGAGCCTCCGACGGCCAGTCTACTGTCTCCGCCAGGCACCGCGTGAGTGGCACGACACACTGAGGACTACGCTTGCGGCTCTTGGGTTTGCTCCTTCTACTGCTGACCCGTCGCTGTTTCTGCGCACCGACACCCTCACTGCCCGCCGTTCTACATCCTCGTGTACGTCGACGACTTGGTCTTTGCCACAGCGGACACTGCTGGACTCGCCTTCGTGAAGTCCGAACTCCTGAAGAGACACACGTGCACAGACCTGGGTGAACTGCGCAGCTACCCTTGGCTTGCAGATCACTCGGGACAGAGCACGCCGCACCATTACCTTGACTCAGTCACACATGGTGCAGCAGGTCCTTCAGCGCTTCGGCTTCACGTACTCCTCGCCTCAGGCCACTCCTCTGCCTACTCGCCACTTCACTCTCAGCTCAACCTTCGGATGAGTCCGTAGAGTCGAGTGGTCCGTATGCAGAGCTTGTTGGCTGCCTCATGTACCTGATGACCTGCACTCGACCTGACCTTGCATACCCTCTGAGCATCCTTGCACGCTATGTTGCTCCTGGGAGACACCGACCAGAGCACATGGCTGCAGCGAAGAGGGTATTGCGCTACCTGTGCAGTACGTCGGGCATGGGGCTAGTGCTTGGAGGGCGGAGTCCAGTGGTCCTTACAGGCCACGCGGACGCTTCTTGGGCTGACGACCAGGCTACGCAGCGATCGTCACAGGGTTACACCTTCAGCCTTGGTTCCGGCTCTGTCTCGTGGCGGTCTACTCGCTCGTCTTCAGTTCTCGGCTCGAGTTGTGAGGTTGAGATCTACGCGAGGCCATGGCTGCACAGGAGCTTCGCTGGCTCACCTACCTGCTGACTGACCTTGGAGAGCCGCCTCGTTCTCCTCCAGTGCTGTACGTAGACAACAAGGCCATGCTGGCCTTGTGTCGAGAGCAGCGCTTGGAGCACAGAACGAAGCACATTGCTCTCCGCTACTTTCCTTGCTCGTGAGCTACAGCAGCGTGGACAGTTGCGGCTTGCGTACGTGGCCTCTGAGGCCAACACTGCTGATGTGTTCACCAAGGCACTCGCGCCTTGTGACCATCAGCGCTTTTGCACCCAGGCTGGGTCTTGTGCCTGTCTTGCCTCAATTGCTCTCCTCTTGACTTTACTTGTACTGTGACATATATATATACCTGCTCTTGCTTGTCTAGTTTTATATATATATGTCTGTACTCCTGCATGTGAACTGGCCTCTGGCCTTGCTCTTGTGCTCGAACTGTGTGGTGACTTTGTGATCCACCCTGAGCTTGCTTTGCTTTGCTTGACTGGTCTTGTGACCCCTTGTTCTCCCCCACTTTGCCTATGGGGGTGTGTCAAACATTATACATGTTATGCTTGTGTAGGCTACAGTGGGTTAAGCCTATAGGGGGTACACAATTCTAGGGTTTACTACTTGTACTCATTTCACTTCTAGTTCATCCATTCCTGTTCGCATTATTCTCACACTCGCGATGCTGCTGCACGTCCTTGCTGTGCGTCGCCACCTGCCTACCACTGAGCGGGCACACTTTAGTCTGTACAAGAGTGCTCCGACCTGTACGACGCTGTAGTTGCGCGCTACTCTTCCCCTGCAACTGCTGCACTGAGCCGCCTCATGCTACCGTACCTCTTCTTCCATGACCTTGCTGCCTTTCCCATTGTTGCTTACCTCACTACGCACCTCCGCACTAGTGACACTCGCTACCGCGCTTCGCTTCCTGCTGAGTTCTGCGCCAGGAACCCCACCCCCCATGTACATCACCCTCTACTACATAGTCACCCGCCTCCCTGACTCCCTTCGTGTAGTCAGAGACCACTTCCCTCTCAGTCTGTCCCAACCACTCTCACTGTTGACCTCCTCGAGAAGGGCCCTCTTAGCAGCGGAGAAGAGCATAGTCGCTATAGGAGCCTCTCGTGGTGACCCTCGCACCCCCATCTTTGAGGGGTGTTCCCCCTCCCCCCTTTTGCCCTCTGTCGCCTCTGCTGCTGCGACCGACCTCGTTGGTCTTGAGTCGGTCGGTGCGGCGTTTACCCACAGCGGGAGACGCCGCTTCTGGCAAGGGCAAGGGGGGCAAGGGCGTTGGAGGAGCTAGCGGGGGTGGTGGAGGCGGCGGTGGAGGCGGCGGAGGGAGTGGGGGTGGCGGTGGGAGTGGTGGCGGGGGTGGAGGTGTCGGTGGCGGCAGTGGAGGCGGAGGCGGCGGAGGCGGTAGCGGTGGGAGCGGAGGCGGCGGTGGTGGCGGAGGTGAGGAGGCGGTGGTGGAGGAGGTGGAGCTGGTCGGGGTGGTGCTACGCAGCGGGGCGGCTCCGGTGGTGGTCGCGTCAGCAGTAGCAGCAACAGCAGCAGCAGCAGCGTTCTCGGGACATCCCCCCCCCCTCAGTAGCTCCGTGAGTGGTACGCTGCACGTCAGCGTGGTGGGGTACCGGTCCATGCATCTACGTCCTAACGCACCGGCGACCGCGGCGGGTGAGCAGAGTGGGGGTGCACAACCCCACCCAGCGCTGCTTTGGCCGCCTGACGGACGCTTGGCGTCAACCAGTTCCCGGAGGCCGACTGAGATCCCGCCGCTGGGGTGAGCTGTCTAGGGCGGGTGTAGCTATCTTTGATCTTGACTTGATGCTATTCTTGCTGCCATGTATGCGGTGACTATTAGTGATGAGGGTGACTGTTACTGGTGTTTTCCTGCCCGAGCCCGGGCATTGAGACTGCTGCTCTAGGTACTAGTGAGGCTGCTGCTCTAGGTGCCAGTGAGGCTGGCTGCTCTAGGTGCCAGTGCGTCTGCGTCCTCAGGTGCTGGTGAGTCCTGGCGCTCTCAGATACCGCGTCAGCTTCGGCCTCCCTCACCTTCACAACTTGACTCAGGGGCTTCTCGCTCCTTCTTTCGAGACCGCACCACACTCACCGCCGCTTGGTCGGCCGGTTGCAGTCTCCCTGGCAGACCCCTCTGGGGGTCCTGTCCTTTCTCACTTCTCCACTGCCCTCCCGTGTCCCGGCGTCCCCCTCTGGCACCCTGTCTGGTCTTTACCTTCCCCTCGTTCTCTACGAACTTGGTGGTGGTGCTGACCTACAGGATGCGAGGGTTCACCCAGTTCACTCCTGCGAGTCAGCGGTGACCCACTGCACGGACACTCGGAACAGGCCGACACCTGGCCACGTTTACACGTCGGCCGGGGGGTCGAGCCTGTACACACTGACCACTTCGTCTCCTCCAGTCCCTGCGTCTGGTCAGGTAGCTGCGTCGGGTCAGGTGTTAGCTGTAGCGTCCAGGTCTGGTCTGAGTCTGCCCCCCTGCTCGTGTCGCCTCCTGTCTCACGAGACTCTCCTCTGGCACCACCGCCTTGGTCACCCCCTCCCTTGCTTCGTCTCGAAGCATGGCCTCCGTGTCCTTGTCTCTGGTCTTCCCCCGGTCCACTCCCTCCCCTTCCTCCGGGGCTTGCCCTACCTGTGTCCCTGTGTCGAGGGGCGGCAGCGGGCTACCCCTCACTCCTCCCAGTTTCCTCCGACAGAGGCCCCGCTGCAGACGCTTCACATGGACGTGTGGGGCCCAGCCCGCGTCCGTGGACATGGTCGACGAGCGCTACTTCCTGCTGGTGGTTGACGACCTACTTCAGCGTTACACCACAGTCTTCCCCTTGCGCAGCAAGGGTGATGTCACTGAGGTGTTGATCGACTGGATCCGCGACAGCTTGTCTCCAGCTCAGGCGGAGCTTCGCTCGGACTTTCCTGTCTGCATCTGCACTCTGACAGAGGCGGAGAGTTCTCCTCTGACCTTCTGCGAGCCTACTGTCGTGCACGAGGCCTCCTCCGCCAGACCTTCCACGCTTCCGGACTCTCCACAACAAAATGGATTGCTGAGCGCCGCATTGGCATGGTCATGGACGTCGCCCGTAACCGGTCCCATGATGCATGCGGCTGCCCCCCATTTTCTGTGCCGTTTGCGGTTCGGTACCGGCGCATCAGATCAACCTTCTCGCCAGGGGTTTTCCATGGCCGGAGACTCCCCAGCTTTGCTGTGGACGGAAGAGGTTGGTGACGCGTCTGGCGTTCCGTGTCTGGGGATCTCGGGCGTTTGTCCGCGACTTGTCTGCGGACAAGCTGTCCCCAGTCGTGCTGCTCCTTGCGTCTTCCTAGGTTCCCCTCTGACGCGCCAGGGGTGGCAGTTCTACCACCCCACCTCTCGCCGTGTTCTGTCCTCCCAGGACGTCACGTTCGCGAGTCGTGTCCCTACTAACCGTCTCTTCCCTACCGCACTCCGACCTCCCCCCGCCACACGCTCTTCCTTGTACCAGGTCCCCCCCCGGTAGACCCCCTCCCCCCTCAGGGGTCCTACCCCTTCAGGTGTGTCCCAGTTAGACGCTGTTGAGCCTGTCGAGGGTCGCTGGTGACTCTGGTGCTGCTGAGGGTGCTGATCTTGGGGGGTGTTGACTCTGGGGGTACTGAGCGTGTGGTGCTATGCCTGGGGGTGCTGAGCCTAGAGGGTACTACGCTGGGGGTGCTGAGCCTGGGGGTGCTGAGTCTGGGGGTAATGAGCCTTGGGGTGCTGAGTCTGGGGGTGCTGAGCCTGAGGTGCTAAACGCTTGGGAGTAGCTGACCTTGGGGGTGCTGAGCCTGGGGGTGCTACGCCCCGGAGGTGCTGAGCCTGGGGGGTGCGGAGCCTGAGGGATCTGGGCCTGCTGGTACTTGCCTGGCGGGTTCTCCGGGTGCTTCTTCTCCGCCGCGAACCACTCTCTCCACAGGAGCTGCGTGAGTGGTTTGCCCGGCGCAGGAGGCGAGCTGCTGGAGCTGGAGGTGCTGCGGGTACTGGGAGTACTGGAGCTTCTGAGGGAGCTGGTGCCCACGGGTCCCGGAAGGTGCTCGTACTGGGAGTACTGGAACCTTCTGGACTTGTGGGTACTTCTAGAGCTGGAGCCACTGCGGGTGTTGGCGGCGGAGGCTACTACTGTCGGTCCTAGCGGCGGTCCCTGCTCGGGGTACTACTGGTGGCTAACTTGGAGGTACTGGAGCTGGAGCTGCTACTGGTGCTGGTGCTGCCACTAGGGGTGCTGGTGCTGTCCTTGCTGTGTCTTGAGTCGCCGGCGCGGCCTCGGCCGTACTTCGTTTCCGCTCCTTCAGCAGGTTCTTGGTCTCCCGTCTTCTCCTGGTCCTCCTCCTCGCATTAGACTGTCCACAGCCTGTCGCGTCGTATTACAGTTAGTTGACAGCCGGCCTCTCCCACTGCCTTCTCCGTCTCCCTACACTAGTACCTACTGGAGGTCTTGCTGAGCGTCGTGAGCCTGCGTCTCGCCATGTGTCGCTTGTCCGTGTTGCTCGCACTAGTGGTCGCAGCTCGCTTCAGCAGCGTCCTCCTCCTGTCCCTGGCACGCACCAATGTCCTTCTGCGTCCGTCCACGTGCTCCTCTGCGTGCCCCGTTGCCTTCTCCTCCTGAGTCCTCTCTTCCTGTTCTTTCCGACCCTGAGTCGGACTCTCTTCGTGCTGCCAGTCCTACTGTCACGCGTCTCCTTGCTACTGTCGTCACTGACCCTTCTTTTGAGTCCACTGCAGCGTCTGCCCTAGTTGCTGAGCTCGTCGACTTTGCTGCTCGCTGTCGTCTAGACTACGCTGCTAGTCTTGTCGCTGAGTCTGAGTCTGTCTGTCCTCCGTCCGTCGGGGGTGAGTGTGCCCTTGGCACGGACGTCCTTGAGGACAGGCAGGAGGAGTTCCAGTGTCTAGCTGCTGCTTCACCTCATCTCGTATCCGTACTGCTTACCCCTGAGGGAGACCCGGATGCACTTGACATCCCGACTCCGCGCTTTTACGCGGAGGCGATAGAGGGTCCCTACTCCTCTCAGTGGCAGGCAGCTATGGATGCAGAGATGGCTTCCTGGAAGTCCACAGGCACCTACGTTGACGAGGTTCCCCCACCTGGGGCGAA